CTAGTAGTGTCCTTGCTCCTAGTAGCGATGCCAGGAGCCCCTAGTAGCTTCTTGTTCCAATGAACATGTTTTTAAAGTTATTTCTTACGAACGTAGCAAACCTTGTTCCTAAGGCCAGGAGCCCAGCGCCCATCGCTCCTAGTAGCGATGCCTTTTGCTCCGTTCGAGAACGTCCGTTTGCCCTGTCCGATGTTCTGAAGTACCATCGACTGTGCCATCGACTGCGTCCGCTTCTCTCTACCACGTTCTTCAGCCTTTGGTGCCTGTGCATTCTTCAAAGTGCGCGCATTCTTCCACTTGTCATGTTTCTTACCCCAAGTCAGTCTGTATGTCGTACCTGTTGGATGCGCTGTGCTTGAGTAGCTGGCATGCTCTTTGCATTGACGGCGCCAAGCCTCTATGTATCGTGGTCTCCAGGGACTTGAAACATGTTTCCCCTTGCCTTTATGCTAGGTGCTTGTACTAGTTTATGCTGTCCTTTAGTTGAGGCTTTTGTATGCGTCCACTATCTCAAGGTGATTGTCATTGATTGTCCGGGTCGCCACATGATTGCTTTTCTGTCCAAGTCCTCTGAGTCTCTTGTGTTTACTAGCAATGGCCTGGGCTGTACAGATTGCTGTCAAACGTCACGCGCAGAGAATGTCAGAGGATTGCCGGAGTGGTATTGCAAAACTGAACGGAACGAAATCATATGTTCGTCCAATGTTCTGTCTGAGTCTTTGATGAAACTTCATCCTGATTTGATTGCAGAATCTCACTTGGGAATGTCACTCTTCTCATCACAAAGCGGCCAAAGTGCACCTAAGTCCACCTCTTCGTACATGATATCAGATTGGAAGCGAGAACATACGCAATAGCATCTTCTGGCCAAAACATGAAAACCCACAGCCAAATATCCGCGCGTCTCCTCAAACGCCTTTTGGATGTGATGTGGAAGAGGATCATGAATAACTGAACCAATGTGATCTGGGATCTCTGATCCAAGGATGGGATTGTGAAAGCTCGCCGAATCGATTGTACATGCGGAAGAAGGATGTTGTAACACGCGTCGTGTTCGATGCTGCCACCGTGCTTGTACGTGTTTTTTCTTTGGATATGCGCCTTACAGTGTACTGCACTGGAGCTCACCTTGTATCGTTGTCACCACTGCTTGGCTACCTGGTAAAATTCAACAGTGATTGCACGTTTCAGTGCCAATCCTTTGTGAAATTGCCTCAAAGGGCCCCTGTAGTGGAACAATGTCCAATCGGAACGAGACGAGAGGACTTCAGCAGAACGGTTATTTTGACGAGAGAGAGAGAGATGATGTGTCCTCGAGCAGCACATGTCCTCACAAACGTGCAAGGATGTATCTAGATAGAAAATTTGGAATGAAATGAAGACTTCCCTGTGCGCTCATTTTGAGCGCCCACCTCCCAAAGTACGGGCATTAATTGAAGCAAAGTCAGCTCTTCGCCTCATGTGGGCCCGTGTTGTCCTAGGCTCTCATAGACTTGTCCAAGGAGCTGCTACAGCTTCGGCAAGGCCAGATACCCAAGGGAACCTTGCGCTCCTTGCCTTTGTTTTTTTGGTTAGTTGAGGGGATGCTGGAGTCATTTTGCCTTTTTTTGGTTGTGTAGTGACGTGGGGGTGTTTGCTTGTTTTTCAATACCGGAAAGAGCGCCAGGTGACCACGGAGCAGAGTTCCAAGGCAAAGCAAGGTGGGTGATTGAAATAACCAAGCCAACTGGTTGAAAGGCAACAGAGGCTTTCAAAGAAAGAAATGGGGCAGCTTCAATCGGTGTGTGTGTGTGTGCATGTTAATCCCTGTCTCTAAGGGAACCACACACTTCAATTTTCAATGCACAGTAAGGCAGAGGGCCGGAGCCAGGTGGGGGGTCTCCGGCCAACAACCCGCGTGAAAACGTACCTGCCAGGTTGTAGTGTTCTTAAGCTGTGACTCCACTTTTCTCGTAAAGTGCTAACCCGTATGTTAAACATGTTTGTTCCACCCCTGGACAAAGGGCTCTTTACCACCAACTCGTTTCCACCCAACCTCAGCAGGGGGATCAGGCTTCCAGCGACTAACCTGATCCAACGAAGCTGGGTCGCTGGAAGGGAAGTGGTTGAGGACGCTCAACCATGTACCTGCGAAGTTTTCCACAAGCTGTCACCCTACTTTTCCACGGTTTGATTCATGGTTCTTTCATGATACCTTCCCCACAAACAGGTTTCAGCCGCTTGATAACTGCAGCCAGCCGCGCGAGTGAAACATTTTTTCAACAATTCAAGTCACTGGACCTTTTCGCCTTGCTGTTCCATCGCCATCCTTCCCAACGTGGAAACTGAGTCACTGAAAACCAATGTCAGAGTGTGTTTCGCTCAGCCGTCCCACTCGGGTGCTGAGTGTGATCCCCGTCACAGGGGCGCCGTTTTCGCATAGGAAATCATCCACCCCAACTTACCACCTGCCACTGGATTTCCACTGGAAGTCATTGACACATCCATCGAATCAACTGATGCATTGGCCGCCGGGCCCAAACACGGCAGCTTTTCCTCCACTGAATTTCTGTCGAGTCTTGCAAGGGTTTTGCATGATTTTGCATGTAGTGGCTTTTTGACCTGTGCCATGACTTTTCCGCCAGAAGAACTCAAGCCCGCATACCGGAGTTCTCAAATCTAATTCCAGATGCGTGACCACACCCTACAACAATTTTACATTTCACATCAAGCTCACCTTCACAGCCTACTTACTTCTAACAAGAGCAGCGCGATTTTCAACACCACCACAGCGCTGAGGCTTTACAACCAATACCTTCGACCACATCATGCAATTTCCCTGGCCATATTCCCATGCCACTCCACCACCACTACCCATTACGCAACCACAGCCGACATTGCCGCTGCCACAGCCACATACCGCGCCAACCTTTCCGTCACCACATCCCCCGACATACCCTTTTCCACAACAACAACCCTATCCGGCTCCACCTACCATGACTATTCCAACTCCCACCACACTGTCCTATGGCGCTCCCTCTGCCTGGACAATTGCGCAACCATCTCAGCCGCCACCACAACCCACACACCCACCACCCGCTTTTCCGTCACCAGCACCGTCCCCCTCTTACCTAGTACAACAATTGCATCACACACCACCCACCGATCCTACAAACAACACACCGACCCAGTCGCCTCCAGCACCTCAACATGCACCTATGGCTCACCATCCCTCCACAGAACCGCAGTGGGCCATGGCCCAGGGGGTTTGGCAACCTTACTCAGCTTTTCCCCCAGTCACACAACCTTTAGCTCAACCTTTGCCTCCACCGCTTCCTCCACTGGCCATCGGCGACTCACCACAAGTTCAGCCACCAATCCCACAACCGGCACCATCGGACCCCACAGCACCAGCCCCCAACGTCACCAATTCAGCCACTGGCTCCCACCCATCTCCATCACCCTCCATTGCATCAGCCCCACCAGCTACTGCACCTCACCACCCTACAACAGACAAGCCGGACAACACCGCTTCACCAGCACCACCACCACCGTCCCCACACCCACCTCACAGCAGTCGTCGCCACCATCACAGAAGCCGGCGCAAGTCTGATCATCACCGCAGCGGCCGCCACCGACGTCGCCGCCGGCATCGGCATCACCGCCATTCAAAACACCACAGCACCTCCCGGCGACGCCGCTCGCCTTCAACCTCCACCTACTCTTACAGCCCCACACCTTCCCGCAGCCGCTTCATTGTTCACAACGAACATTTCCTACACCATCCCGCCATCCAAACCCTCATCCACCACAACCTTCGGCGACCCAGTGGAACTCGAGCCTGTGGACGACTTCCACCTCCTGGGTTTCAACATCGACCTCCAACAACGCACCATCACCTACATGCAACCTTCCCAACCCTGGAAAATCAGGGATTCCACCACCGCCGGGAGCCAGCGCTTGGCTCTGTCAGGCCTCCAATCCAGACTTCACACCATTCGAAAATACACATTTCCACCCTCCAGCGCTGAAGCTGCTGCCGCCGAGCTAGTGAGGCTCTATGTCCAAAAAGGACACAACCACCACGCCTGCCACCAGTTTTTGAAAAAGCGCCGACAACGGCGACCTGTGTGTGTCCACCCCTGGACAAAGGGCTCTTTACCACCAACTCGTTTCCACCCAACCTCAGCAGGGGGATCAGGCTTCCAGCGACTAACCTGATCCAACGAAGCTGGGTCGCTGGAAGGGAAGTGGTTGAGGACGCTCAACCATGTACCTGCGAAGTTTTCCACAAGCTGTCACCCTACTTTTCCACGGTTTGATTCATGGTTCTTTCATGATACCTTCCCCACAAACAGGTTTCAGCCGCTTGATAACTGCAGCCAGCCGCGCGAGTGATACATTTTTTCAACAATTCAAGTCACTGGACCTTTTCGCCTTGCTGTTCCATCGCCATCTTTCCCAACGTGGAAACTGAGTCACTGAAAACCAATGTCAGAGTGTATGTTAATCCCTGTCTCTAAGGGAACCACACACTTCAATTTTCAATGCACAGTAAGGCAGAGGGCCGGAGCCAGGTGGGGGGTCTCCGGCCAACTAAGAGACCCCCAACCCGGGTGAAAACGTACCTGCCAGGTTGTAGTGTTCTTAAGCTGTGACTCCACTTTTCTCGTAAAGTGCTAACCCGTATGTTAAACATGTTTGTTCTTCGGACCTTTTCGCCGTGCCGTTTTGTGAGTCAAGGGCTAAGTGTTCACCTCAAGAGCTAATGCACTGGATCCTCACAAATGATTCAGCTCTTGCGAGCCAATATCCAAGTGTAAACCGCTATCACACGTGGCAAGATTGCTTGAGTTTACCCAGAGATTCACAGAAGCTACCAGGATAGCGGGCCCGGCCCGGCAAGATGGCCGAAGACCCATCCAAGCCGTGTCAACGTGCCACTTTGAGTAAACCACGTTGACCTCGGTGTCGTTTTCACCCTCTGAGGTTCCAGACTTCACTGCTAGACTTCACACCCTTCCGCCCTTTCCCTTGTGGTTAACAGACATGCTTCTCCAACCTTTTGGGGCACTTGTGTGTGAAGTTTCTTTGTTTCGAATGGCAGAAAGAAAGCCCTGGGAGGGCTTACATGCTTCACAGCCAGGCGGGGTCAAGCATCTCAGCTGTTTCTGTAGGCAGTTGCGCAATTTGGGTGCTGTCCTGGGAATCCTTCAGCGGCTTGGCAATTGACCATGACAGGTTGAGAACTGAGAATTGTAGCTGCTTGATTTTGTTTCTTCATTACACCATCGCCCTGTTTCCCATTTTCCCTCGTGGACTCTCTTCCGAATTGGCGCTTCAGCCGCCGAACAGTCGTCCGGCGCTGTACCACAGGGCATTCGTCGGTTCCATCTTTTGCGAACGTATTTTTTCCCGCTACCTTGGGTTGCAAAGTCGTTTTAACCGATGGTACAACGGGAAAAGCACAGGTCCATTCGGCGTTTTCAAAAACACTCCACGAGTGTCAAGGACAACATCTATGATTGCATAATTCAATAGTTGTTAGAGAATGTAAATGAGTATTATAGATCGACATTACATCGTTTTTTGCCAGCCCTGACTGTGAATGTGTTTTGATTTCTGGTACACGGCAAACAGTTCTGTTTTGTCTCTTGTCGTCTCTTGTCTCGTTCTGCTTTCCCGTTTGAGCAGCGTGTTCTTTTTCAGGCGAAATCCAGAGGAGGTGTGCAAAGGTCCAGTCGACGATGGCTTCGAGGAGCTAGGGATGTTCATTCTTTCAAACATGTTTCAAAGCTTCTACTAGCTTCCTTCCTCCTAGTAGTAATACCAATACCCCTAGTAGCGTTCTTGTTCCTAATAGCGATGCCCTTTGCTCCGTTCGTAGCGTCCTCTATGTTTCAAAGATGTGATGTTTAAAAATGTTCAATATTCTCATTCCTGATTAGATTGATTAGTGAGGAGAAGGTTGAGAGCTTGATCCAGGCTCCGCATTAGCCAACTGCGTTTTCAATTTGCAAGATTTGTCACAGCACGTTTCAGCAAATGCCAGCGTCCCTTTGAAGGGCAGCAGAGTCAGGGTGTTCAGTCTTGTGATGCCAAGGCCCGTGCTGATGCACGGAAGGCCAAGGATTTTGGGAAGGCTGACGCCATCAGGGAAGAGCTCACCAGTCAGGATCCCGAAGGAAAATGACAAGGGGCAAAAACCGAGAAAAGGACGGCAAGAGAGAGAGAGGGAGGGAGGGAGGGAGGGAGTGAGTGACCCCCCATTTCATTCACGTCATTCACAACGCTCTCACGATTCAGGCATGGGCGTCATCATCGAAGACGGGGCACAAGGTGCATTTTGTCGATGACGGTGGTGCAAGATCTTGGGGCTATTTAGGATACTGTCCGGCACATCGAAAACCAGTCTTTCAAATTGGATGTGTTTCAAGCAAAACCATTGCCGAGTTGCCTTTGCTGCCGGAATGTTTTGACTTGGCGCATGGCCAAGTCCAATTTGGAGATGTTTTCAGTGCCATGCTTTGCAGGAACCTCATGGCGAGTGGCATCCCTCGTGTGAGTCCGGCTGTAGCACATGAAATGCTGGCTCAGGTTGCATAGTCTTGTTATATCTTGTTCTTGGTTTCTCCATCTTGCGATCTTAGGGCATTGCATCTTCGCAATGTGAGATATCACGGGTTTGATGGGAGGTAGTTTAAGAGGTTGGGAGGCTTGTCGCTTTGCGAGAAGATGTGAGAGGTCGAAGGTAAGTACGAAAAGACAACCGAAAGTCTCGTTTCGACCAAGTGGGCCGTTTTCAGGGTTCTTTTTACTGATCCTCGAGCTGCAAAGCGCTAGATGCTTTTGGATGCTTAGCGTAGCGTAGCAGCTGTGTGTGTAAGAAGAGGGTTAAAGCTCGAAAGGGGGGGGGGGCGGACGCCCGGAAGAATTTTCGACGTGTCAACATTCTAACTTTTGGGATTCCGGGCAGACACTTTCATCTTCGAGCTATCGGAATTTTGCTAACGCTGAGCCTACCCTGGCTGTTCTACTTGCACCTTATGTCAAAGCCAATTTGAACAGCAGTGTGTGTATACAGCTTTCTTGCATTGGTTCGGCAACCCTCGTAGAGCCGGATGCGCATCTGGTGACACATGACTAGAAAGAGAAAGAGAAAGGATGTGAATACATCCTTTGTCGCAATAAGACCCCATTCAGACTTGACAATGTGTGAAAAAGAGTTACGTTGCGGCTTCACATCGCTACGCTGGTAAGCTCCAAGCTGCTCAGCATGAAAGCCATGTCCAAACTGCTTCATGGTCGACTGGAAGGTAGAGCAGCACAATCGCCACAATTTATGTCATAAAGCACAGACGCGGTGCTTAAAGGTTGCACAGTCACACAGAAAACACCCCACACCTGCCACATGGCAGCCTCCAAGTGCTGCTCGTGCTATACCCAAACCCTTGCAACAGCTTTGCCCCAATCGTGTGTCCTACCCATTGCTTTGCACAGATCGAAAACGCAACAAAAAGCGGCTAATGCCAGTTCCTACATGGAGACCAAAGCCATTACTGAAGACCAAACACGCCAAACATGCAGTGAGCCCTGGCATCGCCTTCAAGATCTTCAAGCATTGCGGAGAGATACTCCACTCCGCACATCTCCGCAGTCCTACAGATGAGGAATCGAAGATCGAACGTGTCAAAAATCTTGGGATCTGGAATTTGTCGAAGAAATATCTTTGTGGCAAGAGCAGTTCGCAACGAGTGCTGAAGGTCTTGGTGAAGTTCCACAGTTTGGCACAGTAGAAGAGAGTTCCACCAACACGAATCTAAGAGTTGCCAACAGGATACCCTATTTTTGAGGACGACTCCATGTCAACACGACACCTCGTTGACCTGGAAATGGTCACTGTTACCTGCCGAAACGACGCCAGACGAGTCGTGTCGGACAGTCGCCCTGCGCCGCCCTGCTCGCCCACGCTTCTTTGCGTCTCAGTCACGGACGACCGCAACCCACCTAATCTTCAATACACGATGAGAGATATGAGAGCAACTGAAAAGATACAGGTAGGGCCGGTCATGGCTGCAGTTTTTGCTGTAAGGTAATGCAGGATTTCTTCCAGCTAGCAGGGCTTGCATGGATGTGTTGCAATGTTTTACATAGTGAGGCAATTGCTTTGCAACGGCCGACCTTTTTGGACTCAGCCATTTTTGGTCAAGCGCGTTGTGCTGTCACGGGCACCCAGATGTCGCCGCCAGAGAAGGAGCGCGACGTGGAGAAGCCGTTCCTCTTGTTCATGTTTCTTGGGAAAAATCAAGTCCAAGCAGACCAGACAAAGCGCAGATTCACAAAATGAACGGATAGGTTTTCGGAAGTGAAACCGTCCGAACAACTGCGGTATTATCGAAAATCACAAGACATGACACATGCATGATTGATAGCAAACCTTCCGAAGGGACTCTTTTAAGTCTCGCCTCCTCAAAATGTTTGCCAGTGCGTATTAAAGAAGCATGTTGTAATGTAATATCACAACTGTCCACAGTCAACATCTGCCCGTTCTCAGCACAGGGCGGACCCAGCTGAGCACCCTTTGCAGGTTCTTCATTGCTGGGTCTTTCACCTATGGAGCTTTGTTGGTCTATCCACTCTACCAAGCCCTAGCGAAGGCCAAAGGACAGGAGGAGGCGAGACGAGGGCGAGGAGGGCGAGAAAACGGAACACAGAGTCGAAGTCATCAATTTTTGGACAGGTCGATGCTGCACAGGGTGGTCTCATTTTGATGCACTCGGGATGCACAGAGTGTGATACGTTCAACGAAGACGTTCTATGTCCTTCCCATCCAAGGGTGGCAAAGTACTTGTCCATCTTCACACACAATATCTTCAGCCGATGCTGGACAACCTTACGAGGGCTTCAACTCCAAGTGTCTTGCTACTTGGGCTCGACCATTGATTGTTAGGCGCATCTAGAAACAATCTCGCTGAAGGATTTTAGATGCTTTTAGCACTCATTGATACAAGATTTCGGGACGGGGTCAAGCTTAGCTTTGTTTCTGCCTTGTCGCAAGCCTTTGCATTCCAACTTTTCTGAGTTTACTGAGGCTATCTTCTTTTTGGAACTGTGAGCTTGGGCATTGCAGCAGTGTCCACAGTCCCTCAGGCAAGACTCCAAGAAAGTGTGGACCTAGTTAGTTACTTCAGTCCTTGTTGGCCCTACGTCGCACTTGGAGAAGTTACACCTGTTGCAGGCGGCGACATTGATGCTAGTAGCATCGCTGTATTTCACCAACTCCAACGTGATTGCTGGCCCTTTGCAGCTAGGATTGCAGCTGGTGTCGCTGTCGCCACAGTGCATCAGATGCGTGCGTGTGTGTATAAAGAATGATGTCCAGGTGGCCAGTTCCTTCAGAAGAGCGGAGCAAGATCAGAATGCTTTTCTATTATGCTTGCTGTCCAGCTGGATGCTTGTGGACTGGGTTGGCCACTAGTGAAAGATGTGAAAGTAGTCCGCTTGGCTCGACTTGTCTCCTTGCTGTGCTGTATTGAAATCAGCTGCACAAGTTTTGCCTGTGAGGACAGCTTTGGCATCAATGTGCCTTGCAAGGGAGGAGCTTCTGTGTTTCAGCAGGGTTTTGCAAAGATCAAAGACCAGAGTGCTGACATTCTGCCAGGAATACAGGGGCTCTTGGTTCTTGCGTGCTGCTGTAGTGGTTTTACCATTGCTGGTCACACTGATCAGCTTCTTAGCGTAATTCGGACTTAAGGATCCTGCTTTAGGGGATGTCCATCTCATCTGGCGTGGTGTATTTCTTAAGAGGACAAGCGTGAATGTGTACTCACATGTCCCAGGCTGGTTAATGCTGCCTGCCGATGGCTTCTGGAGCCCCGAGCGCATGAAACAAGCGCAGCCACTTTGATCAAAATGCTATCTGCCCAAAGGGGAATTGCGGGAGGTGCCTAGCCGGAAGGGAAAGTGCTTAACGACTTCTGGATCAAAACCGAAATCACTTAGCCCTATGCCATCGTGGATCCGAAGTTAATCAAAAACTTGTAGTATCGTTTGTGTGTCACTTGTGCGTCATGTGTTTTCTTTGCCCCTCAGTAGCACTCGCTCTGGTGTGTGGCAGGGTGGGGGCACAAACATGGGCATGCAGCTGTTTGCTTGCTCAATGCTTGGCTTTTGACTCTTTGTGAGGGAAGAAATGGAACAACAGATAGCAGAGGAGAAAAGGCTGGAGGAAAAGCAAGAGATAAAGAAAAAGGAGAAGGAGAAGAAGCCGCTTGGTCAGAGCACTTGCTATCTTGCTGGGGTACATGTGGGTTCTTTGCGGGAGTAAGGGTGTCTAATTCAGATTTTGGATTATATAATTGACGTTTGGCTATTCCAGACTTCCGCATTGTCTCTATCTGGATGTCTGAGGAAAGTGAGACTTTTTAAGGATGATGATCAGAAAATCGTGGAGGAAGAGGAGGAGGAGAAGGGGGAGGAGGAGGAGGAAGCTGTTGGAGCTAATGAGGAGCAGAACAAGTCGAGCGTTCTTCTTCGCTGCGCATTCGGAATTGAATGAAAGCCACAAGATATTTGTCTTGAAGTTGTTGTTTGTGTATGTTCGTTTATAAATGCGTCAATCACTGCTTCCTGCCGCAGTCGCTTATTTCTTGCGTTTTAGCAAGACTAGTTTCGGTGAGCGAGACGAGAGCGGCGCTCACCTCTGGCGCTCCTTTCCACCGGCGCAGCGTGATCTCGTAAGTCCTGTGCCAGCCTTGTCCCTTTGGAAATTCAAAATGTACTGTTTGGCTGGAACCAACATGAACCAACCATAACTAACCTATCTTCCATTCATGTGATGTTGAAATACTTTGAACTATACGACTCGCTGGGCTATGTTTGCCAACTCCCTTGGCCACTGACAGCACTCTGACCCAAGCTTCTTGCACAGGACAACAATTCTGGAGCAAAGGAGGCATCTAAAGAAGTAGAAGCAGAGGCGGTAGCTGCTCAGAGAGGCTTTGTGTTGAAGTGAAATTACAGGAGGTTCTATGTATGTCAAGTGAAGTCTTCGGTGTTCGTGTGGGCCGTTTGTGCCTGTGTCCAGGAGCAAGGCGGCGGATGCTTGGCATATTGTTGACCGTTCCTTCAGGAAGTCGGAAATGGCAAGAAACGAGAAAAACCGAAACGAGAAACCGACTTCGTGTTCACTTCTCAAACGGAAACCGAAAGCCCGAGAGGTGCTTCGACTAAGGCCTGCGTATTGTGATGGAAGTGCCGCCACTACCACCACAGATACCAGACGATTTGAGCACACTTTCAGGTGATATGTCTCCCGTCTTTCACACCCACATGACATCGACACACGATGACGTCAGGTAAAGGGTCGTCGAAAACGAGCAGTGCCATTTCTTCTTTGCCTTTGGGCCTTTGCCTGAGTCGTTTGCAAACTGTCGATGCAAGTCTTTGGCCGAACAGCTCGAATTCCAGGACTTTACAAGAAAATGACGATCATGCCGCCCCCCATGGAAGGTGCACAACCCTCAAACCTACAACTGACAGGGAAAGGAAAACACTGCAAAAGGTTTGAAGGCCTTTGTACCATTATAGAATATTACAATGAATATCAAATAATGCAATTGCATGATTAGATTGTCTCAAATCGTCAAATACTTTTTGCATTCAACTTGGGTCCAGGTTTGCATCATCTCCCACGTCTCAGCGCTGCAGCACGAGCCAGTCATAGGCGAAGCCGCCGCCTTTCTTCGAGCGCACCGTGTCGATCATCCCGGTTTTCGGTCACATGGCAAAGAGAAACCCTGAAAAGTCCTACTGTAACTTCTTGCACCATTTTGTGCCTGTTAGTTTGTTGTGCAAAGCTTTGGTGGCGTTGAATTTGCTTTCGGCAGATGTTGCCTTTGAGAAAACATGTGCCCGACCAGTCTTCAAAAGTCTTCCCGACTCGGCTAAGGCCAGAAGCCAGGAGTCTACAGCTCGCAGACGCTCTACCATGCAACAGGTCAGGGCGACTTTCAAAGACAGGAAGACAGCTGTTGCCAGGCACCTCGGCATGTGAAAACTGTGGCTACCGGTGTAGTGCAATAATATAATAAGATATAATAAGCCTGATGACTAATCATTAATATTCCTTAAATTTGCTTGGATGCGTTGCTTGGTTTTTGTGTGTGAGACTTGAAACTTCACTTCTGCTTCACTTGGATGTGAAATGAAAATGACAGAAAAATAAAGAAAGCTGTTTTGCCAGTCGGCGTGAAGACAGAAGTGTGCTCGACAGGATGAGCTTCTTCACCCCGATGAACCCAATCTTGCAACGCGAGCTGGGCAGTATAAGATATGATCGTCCCAATCGTGCTGCCATTTACCCGGGTCCAATGTTCGATTTTGACTTCAAGGAATTCGAAGATCCGGAGGCGCCAGTGCTTTGCACTATATTTTGCATATGGGTTCTGCCGGAGATTTCGGACAGGCTGAGAAGCAAAGTCCATGGAGAAATGGCCGCTTTCGAGTTCTTGTTGGCACCTTGGCAGAAATGGTCCAACGGCCGCTTCCAGCTCTCTCGGAATGTCGACCGATCGTCCAGGAACCCACTGCGCATGTCTTTACTGCGTCACCTTCTGGGGCATCTGGGCTGAGAGGGAAATCGAAGTGTGGAAACGTTCCGTCCAGCATGGTGGACAGTTTGCACACAGTCTTAAGAAAATGGCTCCAAATGGTTCCAAAAAGAATCTTAGAGAGGAAAGGTCTCTGGGTCTTTGCCTGTCGTCCGCGTTTTGTCTTCTCGCCTCACTTCTCGATGCCATTTGAGACTGAAAAAGAGCGTTGTTTCTTTCGTTGTTTCGCTTTTATCCCTCGGGGTCTCGTTTGGAGGTCGGGTTCTGGGGGCGTGATGTTGTGTTCGCAACCGTCCAAGGCGCCGTTGGGGAAGCTTTTTCGAGGCTTTTAGGAAGCTGCTCGCGTCTGTGTGAAATAGCGTAGAAGCGTATGAAGTGTGGATTTGCTGTGCAGGCGCTGCTTTTGTGAGGTCAGGACATGTGGCCGCTGTGGGAATTGGAATGTGAGTGTCGCTGTGCTGGGATTCGTCTTTCTGAGGAAGTGAAATTTTCATGGCAAGCGCAGAGAATCGTGGGGTTGAGACGGTTGGTCGGGGGTGAATGTCGCTGTGTCATTGGGGGTGTCAGCGGTTGCGGCTTTGGGGGGGCTGGAATTGCAAAACTGCTTGACAGGACTGCTTGATGTGTTCTCTTTGATGAGGTTTCCCGCTTTACTTTTGGAGGATAAGTTCCCAGTTTGCCTTTTGGATGCAGCCTCGTACGAAAGGGGCTTGCTGAACCAGGGTTGGTCGTATATGCTTTGATGATCTTTAATTGGGGGTAAGGTTTAGGAAAGGCTCGGGAAAGGTGATGTTGACAAGAAAATCTTAAGCATACCAACTTGTTGTGCAAGTGATTGATTGCGTTGGCCATGCGTGGTCGTTTTGCTGGCCGGACATTCAAACCTGTATGCAGTACTTGGTGGCACTGTTGTGCAATAGTTCCTCGAAGGGCTGGCTCATGGCCCTAGTGTACGCATATGGCCTTTGAGAACGCATACGGGCCGGAAAGATGTTGAACGTGTTGCGCTAGGAAGACCATTAACCTTAGAGCAAAACGCCTAGCTCACTGCCAGATGTGCCTGCAAAAGGTTTGCGACCAAAACCCATGCTGATTGGACCAAATCCCGGCAGTTTGCAAAGTTAAGTTTACCGAGCGCTGGAATAGTTATTGGCTGGCCACAGAACCTTCAGGATACACAACCTTTTGCAGATGCAAGGAGGTTCGCTGTGCCTTGAGGTTTGGCGCGGTGCCATTGGAGAACGGGAAACATGTGTGTGTGTGTGTAGACTCGGCATGATGCTGCTGAGCGGGATGACGGTGTCATGCTACACGGTCGCATCTGAACCTCGTCTGTGCTACGCGGTGCAGCGTTGAAGTTGCGTCCATGATGTCGCTGCGCCATGTGGTTTCGCACGGTTTGTTTGCGCGGCTCCGCGCCTCAATCCTTCGAGCATTTGGCCAGCCCGGCGTGAGGGATGACTCGGAGTTAGAGTTGGGGTCCAAAACACATGGTGACATGGATAGCTCGATCATCACAGCTTCAGCACGCTGCGGTGAGTGGCCTAATTTTTATACAACTTTCACCACAGGATGCTCGTTTTAACCTGTGTATAGGTGACTTTGAGGGACACTGTTCACGAGTTGAAAACTATTCCGTCCGAAGGTTGCTGCCTAACTGCCAAACAGTCCCACAAGAGAGTGCCCGATAGAGAGAGTGTCCCACAAGAGTCCTTACAAGGAGTCCCACAAGAGTGCCCTACAAGGGTGTCCCACAAGACTGCCCCGCAAAAGTGTCCCGCCGTTTGTTTTTGAGTGCACGCGCGCATTCGGGTTCGCGGTTTCCATCTTTGTTTTTTCTGGCCTTCTTTCTTAAGTAAATAGACACCGACTTAATTAAAAGGGCTAGCCGGCACTACCTGCTGGATGCAGGATAGCTTACACACTATTCGCCTGGCTCCTAGATTTTTTGTTTCTTTCACCAAACAGTGTGTCCACACTCGTGCTTCTTACCCTAAGAGTTAAGGTAAGGATAGGTGTCTGATCGCAGGTGCTCATCGGCGTTTGTGGCTAATTCGCTGTTATATTTACAGTGCATTCATTCACCCGGATATCTTCGAAATGCATTTGGGCGCGAGCGGGTGCTCTTCGAGACTGAGCTCTCCTGTCGTGCCACAGACATTTTTTGACTGATGACTTTCTGTGATAGGCGGCAGGCGCAAGGCTGCGAATCGCCTTAGCAGGGCTGCACGGCGTGAATCTTGACCTGCAGATTTCGTGGCAGGCGCGGTACTTTGTGGACCTTGAAGTGCAGATTTCGTGGCAGGCGCAGTACTTTGCCCACCATCCCATCACCACCACCACCACCACCACCACAACCACCATCACCACCACCACCCCCGCCACCGCCACCGCCACCACCACCAGCACCATCACCATCACCATCACCATCACCATCACCATCGCCACCACCATCGCCACCACCACCACCACCATCATCATCACCACCACCGTTATCACCACCATCAACATCATCATCACCCTCACCATCATCATCATCACCACCATCACCTCCCAGTGCGTCTAGATATCTAGACATTCTGTTTCTACGCCTCTAGACCTTAGATGACCTTAGACCTTTAGACACACTGCTTGGCCTCTTGCCAGGATACTTTTTGGTTGTTTCTTCTTCTTCTTCACAATTGTGGCCAGATCACTTCAGTGTCATCAATATGTTCGACTGAGTTTGCCAAAATGTTATCGAATCTACAGTTCAGCCTCTTTGCACTAGTAGTTTGGATGTATCGAGTTCTTTGTAGATTGTTCCGCCATGCTCAAGTTGCCAAGGCTACAGCGTTTTTCCCATGCTCATCAGTGAGCAAGGTCCCTCTTTGGAACTCATAAGCTTCTTGTATTCCTTGGAAGGTGCAGCCCAGGCCCCGAGTTGCCATGTTTTGGACATGCACAAATTGTGTGGCATTTTGACTTGTTTGTTCCAGATTTGATATTGGCAAGGCGCTTTGTCAAACTGTTTTTTGACGAGGTGATTTGTACGATTCTGGTGATGCCATTCTTGGATTCCCAGATCTTCCTAAAGTACTTCTCCACCGCCTTCTTGCTTCTTTTCAGCGCTCCACTAGCCGTGTGTTTGTTGGGGAAGATCCATTGGGTCTCTTGGCAGAAACATGCTGCTTACGAAATCTAGCCGACTCGTGTTTGTCTCCTTCAAGGGTTTGCTAGCTGCTAGCATGTCCATGCAAGTTCACCTTCGCGTTTCAACGGCTAGCTGCTCAGTTCTTCTACCTGCTCACCTTGCTACTTGTGGACGTCCTTCTGTGCGTTTGCAATGCACTTCTTGGCGTGGTTGTTCTTCGTAGCTTGCCATGGGATCAGAGCCTTGTCTTGGTATGGTAATCTCTTTATTTGGTCCTTTGGGAAAAGTTTAGCTTGCCGCCTTAATTGCTTGTTTTCCTTTGGGTTCAGGCTTTGTATGAAACTGTGGGCTCAGGATCCTGGTGTTTTACAACATTGCATGCACGTGCCGCGGCTGGTAGTGGCCTATTTACAAATTTAAAGCACTGATTTGTAAGGATTCCATCAGCCCGTCTTCGTTGAAGTGTTGAAGCTTCAAAGGGAGGGTTCGGAAGCAAAATTGAAATATGCTTCACAAAGATACCAGATACCAGAGTCTTGATGGGTTTGCACTTGAATCTACCAGGTTGGGCGGGGTTTTGTCCGGAACCTCCTTTGTGCATCTCGGCCAATAGTGAAGAGAGCTGAGCTGCTTTGCTGAGAATGCCTCCTTCCTAGCCGGCCGCCTGCGCCCAGGCAAATGCCATTGAAGGCTTTGGTTGGAAGCTGGGAATTGGCATCAGTGATTGGCCATGGTGTGCCTCTTCTTCTCCTGTAGTTTGGATGAATAGAGGGCACCATGCTCATTCCATCCAAGGCGTTTATCGTTTCGAAACCAAAGGTGATCAGGAAGGTAATAAAGCTCAGGAAACCTGCTAGCCAGAATCCAAACGGATTCACAACAGCAAGTCGTGCGTTCCAAAAGCTGTGGAGGATATGGTCCATACTCTGCTACTCTTGCCAAAAGGGTTGCGATGAGAGTCGCAGCAGCCATTTTCAGGGGCAATCGTTACCTTTCCTGGGATCTTCGATTGTTCTTGATTCCTCTCTACTTTCTTCTCAACCTTCTTGGCTTTTCTCTACCGGAACCCACATCGAATATTAACCAATGGCCATTTCACCGCAATTGCCACGCAACACTTCACCTGCCTGCCAATCACTGCAACATACTGCGACCACAAATCAGAAATTCTATTGCTGCCATTGTCAGTTACATGCTGATATGTCTTTTTGTTCAACGCAATTAATGTGCACCAGCACAAGCCACAGCTGCGAAGCAAACCCTCAAGCAGCAAATCCCAATTGGGCACTGTCGCAAACTGTACACCTCACAAAACACTGTGCCCACGTGGTGAAAACAAGCCAACTTCCAGACCTTGAAATGTCACATTTCTACGCGAATTAAGCACCCCGCAGAAGACTTCCCAAACGCTTTCCCGCGACGGGGATTCCGCGCGCTTCCGCCTGCAACCCTTCCTCGCGCAAGGGTTCCAACCTGTTGCAGACGGGACAAAACGCGGCAAATGAACACCCTCAACTCCGCCCATTTTGTCGACCTTCGCTACTATTGGCAATGAAAAGCGAAGGGAGGGTTAGATCAAAGTGTCAAAACAGTTTGTCTCGATTGAGTTGAAACTCGACCACGGTTTCTCAAGATTGGCCAATGAAGCATCTGTCCAAACGACAATAGTAGAGCCCAAGGGATGATTCAGATAAATGTTGAATTCAGTACTACCGAGAGTCAGTGTTTCAGGACCAGTCAGTCCTGTTTCTTGTTTGCCGAGGCTACTTTTCTATTTGATGCATCTTCCAGCTTTGAAGGAGTTTGTGGTTATCAAGCTTCGCCATGCATTTCGCTCAACCTCAAACAAGTAAAGGGAATGATTGTCACGTTGCTTTGGGCAGTTTAGCACCCAGGAGCTGTGGGAACTTTTGCTTCAACCTGTGCGACGCACAAACCATGGGGAGTGGGATCCAGAGGACTTGGAGGAAGAGGCGCAATTGGCAAGTGGAAAAGAAGAAAAGAACACAGGCTACTGGTAGCAAGAGGCTACTAGGTTGAAGGCCATCGCCATTAGGTTGGAGGCCATTGCTACTAGTAGCTTCTTGCTAGTAACAAGATGAAAAGGAATCCTTTTTGCATTTTTGTATTTGAGACCTGAGACCAGTGTTGTTTGTTTTTCGCACCGAGAAGATGGTAACAATCGTATCATTGAGATGTTTCTTGCTCCGTTCGTGTTGCTGCCACACCACGAGCTATGTTGAGCAATCCAAATAATAGATGTTGCTGTCCAGCTCAATTTGTTGACCCTTTTTGACCTACGCTGGGCGCATATGTGTGTTTGCACCATGTGGCTTTACAACGCTATAATTTGTATGCTTTACAACAAAACATGAATGGAGGAAGAGGATGAGCAAGCAGAAGAGCCACCCTCGTTGCTGACAGACGAGTCCAACAAGGATGGTCAAGTTGCGATTGTCTCACAGGCAAACATGCACTTCCTACAGTTGCATATCTATTCTGAAAACACAATGAACTGAATTTGTGAAAGATGCACTGTTTATTCGCATAAAATGAAGTTTTAAGCCAAAAGTTTACATCAGCTCAACTTAGCAGTACTGTTTGGACACAGATCTGTGAACATGGCATCCTGCTGGCTTTCGCAGGGGTGCCGTGATGGGTGTTTGGAGTGATAGCTGCTTTCACCATGTCCGCGTGGATAGATAGTCTTGAGAAACAGCAAAGCTTGGAACGCCACTATGATTTGCTTTGTGTTCGTTCCCATTGGTAAAGGTAATCTGTTGAAGAAAGCATGCGATTTCACTGTCATATTCAGTTTTTCAGGGCGTCCACTCACAACAAGAAGTGTCCCGCCCTGCTCTTTGTACAGCCGATGCAATTTGACTTGCCTGACCGGATGTCATTGTCATGACCTATGGTTCACATGTTTTGCTAGAATGCTTTGAATCCAGGTCAGGCTGGAATCCAGAGATCCAACTTTTTGTTTGCAGAATTGTCAAGCAATTTTGCGTGCACGTCACGGACGTCAGCTCATGATTGGCTGCCGAGCTTGTCGGCAGCGACACGAGCGAGAAGGCGTGAAGACCCCCACAGGAGGTGCAGGTTGTGGGCAGCTTTGCTGATGGTTACCCACTTGGTGTTGTCACCAGGAGCCTTTGCCCTGTGGTGTTCTTAAGGTCTTTCGCGTTTTGGAACCCTTGCAGCAAGTGCGTTCCAATCCCCGTTGCTTGAAAGAATGCCAACACAGAAATCCGATGCCTCCTGGGTGTGGACCAAATTCATTCGCATGGTTTTGCGATGGGCCTCCTCATGGGAGCAATCGCCGCTTGAATTTGTCGTGGCCCACGCTTGCAATTGACAGAATCTGTTGCATAGAAGAGACGAAGGGAAAAATGTTCAAATCGGATGCTGATTTGATCCGGTTTGACTCTGAAACATCACAACCGAAGCCAACAGGATGAGCGACTGAGACCGCCAAACAACCCCGTCGCAAACCACAACGTCACCCATTTCCGAGAACTCTCTTCAGTTTCTACTAGGAGCAAGGACGCTACTAGGAGCAAAGGGCATCGCTACTAGGAGCAAGGGCCTTACTACTAGGAACAAGAAGCTAGTAGAAGCAAAAATTAGTATTTAAGTTTAATTAGAATTCAAATTCTGTCCATTCCGACCTTTTGCTCTTTTTTCCGATGGTTTTTCGAGAGGAGGAGGTCAAAGGATCTCGGATAGATTCCGTCATGTGATTCAGATAGGTTACGTGTGTGTTTGCCATAGTATTGGAATGTATTGGATGTTCTTTGTATACCATAAACGGGTTAACTTGTTCACTCTTAAGTTAGTCAGTTGTGTGTTTTGTTATTGTTGGTTATTGTTATATTTTGTAAGGTGTCGTTTGTGAGTTTGTGTGATGTCTTGTGTTTCGTTGCTTCAAGGCTGTAAACTGCAGTTGCCACAGAATCCAGGACGCTTTGTCGGTGACGTTGTTTGCTGAACGGGTCAATTGTCATGGAAATAGCCGCTTAGCCGTTACTTGAACACTTTGCGATCCCGTTGCAGGCATTCGTAAACTTTGATCTGGAAGTGTTGCAACCTGTCCTCGCATTGGTTTGGTCATTCCAATGTTGGTGTTTGGGAATTCCCCTGCCTCACAATGTTAAAACTAACGATAGTGTGACATCTTGCAATGACAGAAACTTGTCCACTTATCCAGACTCCGCATCCAAAAATACACAAATCCCGCCACACAGCCCTATCCAAGATACAAAGACGTAAAGCCAAACAAGAATGGGCACTACTAGTAGCAAACAAGAGCTTCGAAACTGATTTTGATCAAGACTGGAACCAGCGACAAAGGAACAAATGCCCCAAAGCCAAGAACAAAGAGCTTCCAACAACCCTCTTCAATCCAACAAAGCCAGCAAGCAACGAATAAGCCAAAGAAAACAACAAAAGCTAGTCAAACATATGCGGGAGCGCACTGAACTCCGATCACCAACCAATCGCAAAACTACATTAAGTAGCAACAACAAACAACCACTTTGCGGAGCCACAAAATGGAAAAACGACCATGAGAAGTACCGATACACCAAGAAGAGTTACAAGTTAACCGTTTCGACCCGCGACATCTACCTCCACAGTTGGACCAAACAAGCAACGAAAAGACCGTAGAAAGCCAAAGCAGCAAACCACAAGAAACGCTGAAACGTACCTTGCGAAACACATTGCACCAGACCTTCAAGTAACCCAAATCATCCCAACTTCACCAACCAAGATACAATCAAAACACGCAAAGCTAACCAAATATGTGGAGACAAGGTAAAAGTAAATCAGATCAACATGCAACAAACAATGCCACAGCACCTTAACAAAAAGGAATTCTGTCCGTGTCATTGCTTTTCGCTTGTGCTGGTTGATATGGTGCAACTCGCCACTATTGATTGATTTGATCGATCCAACCTTGACCTAAGTAAGATTCCATCATTCTTATTACGTCCTATCCTTGCAAATTCCCTTGCCGCTTTCCCGCATGTATCTTTTCAACTCGATCGTTTAAAATGTCTAGACTTAATCGTTTAAATTATTTATTAAGAAGTTCAAGGTGTAAATATATGGAGTATTGCATGTATTTATTGATATACTAAATAATTGAATCTATAGATAATATAGATGTTATTGATATGTTTATTTATTTAATTGTATGAATATATAGATTTATATTTAATGATTGATGTAGTGTTT